GCCAAAATCTGGAAGAACACCTCACTTACACTAAAAATAATTTCCACTAATAAAAATGCCCCAAAAATGGTTCTTTATAGTTGCATCATCAAGTAAGTTAAACCCTGGAAAAAGTAAGGCGTCATGCCTTCTTAGAATTGGTAAACTGATTGTGAATTCCACTAAAAACCCAACCCATTAAAACTGGAAGCAGTGATCCCGATTTTAAATCAGTCCAAGAAAGTTTCATATCCATATCAATGGAGTCTCCATGTTGGTTTCTGGTCCAAATTACATCAGCATAGCAAACTCCACAGTGGGTAATTTTTATGGAAACATCATCAGTGCCAAGAGCCCTGATTAATTAGAATATAATCATAATAAGTCAACCTTCAAGGAAAATCGTATGATGTAATTATTGTAATAAGTTATTAACTTTTATGACTGATCACAATTGCAACATTTTGAAAGGTTGAGGAGAAAGCTACAATGAGAAGCCGCGCGGCTATGCTATTTTTCAAAAGGACCCTCCAGCGATTAGGAGCCACGTGTCCCAAAAAAACCGTATAGCCACCTGGCTATACTATTTTTCAAAAAGAAAAACATAGTACAGCCGCACGGCTATACTATATAAATACACTATATTTAAAAGGGCTACACTATTTAAGAAATAAATAAAATAAAAGAGGACCCTCCAAGTTGCACTAGTTTGTACTTTATTAATTTGCTAGTTTAAATATATCTGAAGTAGATATTAATTGGCCACTATACAATATTTTTATTCTTGCTTAATGGACTAATAGCTGTAAATCATTAGAATGAGAGGTATCGAAAAGAATTTAAAATCTCATTCCCCAATTTCACTGGTATAAATAAAATAATTGAAGAAATATCTCTATTCTAATGAGCTAAAGAGGTATTTTAGCTCTAAACCCTAAAATAACATGACAAAATTGTATATTCAAAGAGTATAGCCGGCCGGCTATATGGGTTAAATATATTATGTTAAAGGTATAGCCGCTCGGCTCTACGTTTTGAATATATTGGAATATTTTAAATATATAGCCGCGCGGCTATACACTTTAAATATATTTCCAAACAAACACGAAGCTTGCACTCATAATCACAGCCATTTCGTTTCTCTGTAAGCACTTCTAAGCTTCAAAGACTGAGTATTGAGCCTCTCTCTCTCTCTCTCTCTCTCTCTCTCTCTCAACTAACTCTTCGAAATTTTTCTTTCGTTTCAGCTGCTGCGTTGATTGGATTGGATTGGGACACTCTCTATGAAAACCATCAAATGTCGTTCAGCTATTGAAATCTCCACTAAGATAACAACTCTGATGCTATAAGTAGTTAGGCGGCGTCTAGGTGGCCTGGGCGGATCTAGGCGGCGTCTAGGTGGCCTGGGCGGATCTAGGCGGCGCCTAGGCGGATCTAGGCGGATCTAGGCGGCCTGGGCGGGTCTGAGCGTCCCTTCTTTTCTTTTTTTTCCAAATGAAGACGGACGAAGCTTGCACTCGCAGTCCAATCTTCAAAATTCAAATACTCGGTCTTGAGCCTCTCTCTCAACTCAAGCTTGGATTTTTTTTTCTTCGGTTTCGGTTGCTGCGTTGATTCGATTTTTTGTGTGCTTTTCTGTTATTGAAGTGGGCAACGTCAGATGAACATCCAAGGCAGTTTCTTAGTATACCAGAAGAAGCCCAGCAGATGGTTCTTTAACCTGAGGCACACCTTGCTGTTTGGCATTGGATTCCACCATGCCGATCTAAATGACAAAGATAGATCTCTGGTTGAGGAACAAGATTCAGGCATTTCTGTTTTACCTCAATAAGCATGAGTCTTTCCTGAAAAACACATTAGGAAAAGAGAATATAAAAAGATCATTTTCTTAATCCATATACTGATTAGGCATATGTATTAAATTATAGGTATTGGTTTGTACCAGCGCACATTGGCATGAGGTGTAAACCTTCTAGGTCATCATCTGATCATTATTAAGGTAAGGCAAAATTTGTGCGCTATCTTTTTCATTTGGTTCCTATATTCTCAAAGGTTTCTAGCAGGAGTATATTGCAGCAGCTGTTCTTCAGAACAAATTTACGTAAGTGTTGATTCTCTTGTAGTTGCAGGGAACATAATATTATGATGGGAAGACAAAGAGAATATGTTGATTTTCCAATATCAATCACAGATATATTGCAAATGATGGTTTTGGTCACATGTGACTATATATATAGAATAAAAAATGGAAAGAAAGAAATATGTGAATCAGATTACATGCTTTTCTCCTTTTATAATCAACAGTTGCTCAGATTCTACAAGAAAGATGGGAGTATATGTCCATCACAATCCGCCCGCGCCTAACAATCAATAAACACGAATCATATTACTTTCTGAATATTTGCCTCAAATACTAGGAATCAGGTTGTTTGGGGTTTTGAATATCAGAAAACCAAATAAAGTCAATGGATGAAGTCTTGCAGTCCTAAATCTAATCAATAAACCATTTTCCTTTTTATTTTTTCAATACTCTGCACCTATCTTTTTTTTGCTGTTAAAAGTTCAGAACGCCCATCATTTGCATTGCTGCTGTGACAATGATCCTCTTGTACTTAAATGTGGTGAAGACACAAGTTAAAATCCTTTAAATGTGCCCTTAGTATTTGATTTATTGAGCCTTTACAAAATCTTACATGAGCGTGTAGTTTTCTACAGATGTTTAATCCAGCTTACTATGGCTTGGACAATACTGAACCTGAGTTTTATATAAAGTGGATAAGGACCGCTTAGATGATCCACATGTCAAATCCAATCTGCTATTTCAGGTCAGAGTTGTCTTCAACTATATGTTTTTCGAATAAAAACTTCATGTCGTTTTGCTTTTTAGTTCTCTCGTCGTTTTATTCTCTAACCATGCATGAATTCTGCATTCAAGCACATTTCTCGCAGTTAGAATTACCAATCAGTGATTACGTCACAGACTTGAAGTCAGTAATGGATCAAAGTATGCGAATTATCCAGGCCATGATAGATAATGTGCTAATAGTGGGTGGATTTGAAGCTCAATTACTTGCATGCATCTTCTGCAAAGGGTCGTGCAGGTATTCTTCTTAGTAGTTACAATTTTGACTTCTTAGTAGTAGTACTTGCCTAGAATAAAAGACGAGTGCTATTGCGAATTGGGCATTCTGCCTTGTTTATATTATTACATTCGACAGCTAGCATATCAGTTGATTAGTTAGAGATGTTAATCGGGGATGCTGAGCACCCTTGAATGTTGTTAGTCCGTGCCTCTTTCCTGTATTGTTTATCTTTGTTTTGTTTTTTTCCCCTCTTAACATTGGGAATTTCACGTGCACGTGGGTATATGTAAGAATGAGATGCTTCTTCTCATCTAACACGTTGTTTGAAATCTCATTTAGAAGGTTTACACCTCATGCCAATGTGCTGGTACAAACCAATACCTATAATTTAATACATATGCCTAATCAGTATATAGATTAAGAAAATGATCTTTTTATATTCTCTTTTCCTAATGTGTTTTTCAGGAAAGACTCATGCTTATTGAGGTAAAACAGAAATGCCTGAATCTTGTTCCTCAACCAGAGATCTATCTTTGTCATTTAGATCGGCATGGTGGAATCCAATGCCAAACAGCAAGGTGTGCCTCAGGTTAAAGAACCATCTGCTGGGCTTCTTCTGGTATACTAAGAAACTGCCTTGGATGTTCATCTGACGTTGCCCACTTCAATAACAGAAAAGCACACAAAAAATCGAATCAACGCAGCAACCGAAACCGAAGAAAAAAAAAATCCAAGCTTGAGTTGAGAGAGAGGCTCAAGACCGAGTATTTGAATTTTGAAGATTGGACTGCGAGTGCAAGCTTCGTCCGTCTTCATTTGGAAAAAAAAAAGGGGCCGCTCAGACCCGCCCAGGCCGCCTAGATCCGCCTAGGTGCCGCCTAGATCCGCCTAGGCGCCGCCTAGATCCGCCCAGGCCACCTAGACGCCGCCTAACTACTTATAGCATCAGAGTTGTTATCTTAGTGGAGATTTCAATAGCTGAACGACATTTGATGGTTTTCATAGAGAGTGTCCAATGCAATCCAATCAACGCAGCAGCTGAAACGAAAGAAAAAATTTCGAAGATTGAGTTGAAAGAGAGAGAGAGAGAGAGAGAGAGAGAGGCTCAATACTCAGTCTTTGAAGCTTGGAAGTGCTTACAGAGAAACGAAATGGCTGTGATTATGAGTGCAAGCTTCGTGTTTGTTTGGAAATATATTTAAAGAGTATAGCCGATCGGCTATATATTTAAAATATTCCAATATATTCAAACCGTTGAGCCGAGCGGCTATACCTTTAAAATAATATATTTAACCCGTATAGCCGGCCGGCTATACTCTTTGAATATACAATTTTGTCATGTTATTTTAGGGTTTAGGGCTAAAATACCACTTTAGCTAATTAGGATAGAGATATTTATTCAATTATTTTATTTATACCAGTGATTTTGGGGAATGGGATTTTAAATTCTTTCCGATACCTCCCATTCTAATGATTTCCAGCTATTAGTCCATTAGGCAAGAATAAAAAATGGATTTGATTTATGAGAAATATTACGGGTTAGACCCATAAATACAACAACAAAAAATAGGGATCCACCAACATTTTGGGTATAAAAGAATCTTGAATTTCATAGCATAAAATTGCTAGTGTAAGAATTTACTTTTTAAAATGTATCCATGGTAATTATGAACTAAACCCAATGACAGCCTTTTTTCTCATTGCACTTGACAACCTGCTCTTCTGCTTTGAGATACATCAATATAATCTCTGCACATGAAAAATTGGATACAAAACATTCTAATGAGACAACGAAGAGAAGAGTTTTGAAATAAATTGAAGGTATCAGAGGTCATATGGCATTGATATATATATAAATGAGATTTCAAACAACGTGTTAGATGAGAAGTAGCATCTCATTCTTACATATACCATATCCACGTGCACCTGAAATTCCCAATGTTAAGAGGGGAGAAAAGTGCAATACCTCTCTTGTATCTCGCAAGAGTAGGAGATCCAACCTTTCATGAGGACGCTGGTTTGATAAAAAAGCAAGCTGCATCCAATCATACATTAATACCGGCAAACTATCCATTGGCTACGGCAGCCCCTCTACTTTGTGCTGGAATTACTGTTTATGCTTCGATGGTACGCCGTAAGATGAACCAACCTGGTAAATCTCTTGGGGTGATTGGGCTTGGTGGCCTAGGTCACATGGCAGTGAAGTTTGGCAAGGCATTTGGTTTGGATGTAACAATTTTCAGCACTAGCATATCCAAGAAAGAGGAAGCTTTAAGTCAGCTGGGTGCAGATAACTTTGTGGTCTCATCTGACAGAAATCAGATGAAGGTAAAAATACATAAAGTTTCTTACCTCATCACATGAACAATAGAAAAAATAGTGGAAATGATGGCTCATCCTATAGGTTTAGTATTGATCGGTTATTGTTTGCTATGTAGGCCCTGGTGAAGTCAGTAGACTTTATAATTGATATAGCATCTGGTGATCACCTTTTTGATCCATAGATGGAACTATTGAAACTGGTGGAGTTCTGGTCTTATGGTGGGATTCCCCAATGAAGTCAAAATCAGTCCTGCCAACCTTCATATCGGTACATTGGCATGTTCCAAATGATTGAAATGACAGTTTTACATATCCAACTGTTATAATGAATTCCATGCATTGGCCTTTTGGCAGGTATGAAAACCTTTTCTGGTAGTGTAACAGGTGGAACAAAGGATATCCAAGAAATGATGGATTTCTGTGCTTCAAATGGAATTCATCCAATGATTGAAATAATTCCAATTCAATCTGCAAATGAAGCTATTGAGAGGCTACTAAAAAGTGTTGTGATATACGGGTTTGTGATTGATATTGAAAACTCCCTGAAATGACACCATGAAAGAGAACAAGGATTTCTCTTGTTGATTTGTATTAATAAGTTCATATGGATTGGATATTGTAGGTCTCAAACCATTATCAATTTGGCAATCATTTATAGTTAGGTGGTGTGCATTTACCTCTGTGAAATTTTATCTGGGATTGGTCTTCTGTATAATATGTAAAAAGAAACTGAACTCTTATGATCATGTCCTTTCTCTAGTGACCGGATTTATGACTGAAATATTATTCTCCAGCACTTTAATGTCTTCAAGTAACCCTTTTCCATTCTCTGTCTGTTCAGCAACAAGATTGTCTTTCCTTCTTTCCCCACAGCACACAGTAAAGGCCCACGATAATGAGAAACGCTCCGATCAAGCTGCACACCACCACATACCCAAAATCCACATTAAATTTGTGACTAATTTTCATGACAAGCAAACTACCGTGATAGAATGGATAAGTGAAACCATCAAATGTGGAAGTAGTAAGATGGAATAGGAAGAAGGTGTGTCTGTGTTATTCAGGTTTACCTGCCAAAGTGAAGTCGCTCTGCGAAAGAAATTGCCGAGAACAATGCCACTATAATGACTTGAAGTGGACTAAACATAGCTGCAAAGACTGGTCCCTTGTAACTGATGCACCATGTTTGCAGGTAGCAGGCCAATGCTGAGATTACAACTCCCTATTGCAAAAGTAAGGAGTGGATGAAAACCAGAACTTGTGACAGATTCAAATATATCTTATACCAACAAGGAGAAAAACACCCAATAAGACACAACAAAATAGGATGTCCCATTTATTTACTTTATACACACACACACACACACACAAAAGACAATGTTCTCTTCTACATGTTCTGCTGTGAGGTTTTTAAATCGAATTACAGATTCGGATAAGAATTTGCATGATCAATTGTTGAAATCAACGTTGTGAACCTAATAATATGATATGAGAAAGAGAACACTCACGCAGTAGGCAATGTTTTGAAAGTTGCAGGTTCCACTCCAGTCTCCATGAAATTGGATTTCTTGATAGAAAAACAGATCAAGAAAAGAAGATTGCAACGACGCGAAAAAGCATATCATCGTGGTTAGCAATAATCGAGCAGTGTAGACTTTGGAGACCACAGCCTGTGAGACCAGAGAGCCAAAGTTGGACAAAGAACTAAACTTGGACATTACATGACATAAAAGGGTGTCATCTTAATTCAATTATAAAATCACCTGGAGGGTTAGCCATGCACTCCATGCAATGTGACTCGTCAGAATAAGAAGAACCCCCTTGATCCAGTTTTCCTTAACATGCCTCATCTCACCAACAGATGTATTTATCAGTGGCCTCTTTACAAAACCTTTAAATAGGTATCCTCCTTTCCAGAAAGTGAAAACAAGAGAACCACCAATGCAGAAAAGTGTGCCAGCCACCTTAGCTTGACCTCTAGCAGTTCTAAACTTCAACTTCTCCAACCTGTGTAAGATCAAGCAAATTGCAGAACAGGAAAAAAGAACATTTATATTCCCCTTTCTAATTAAGCAAGGGAAGGGAAAGGACAGAGAATATACCCAAGTATAACTGCCATTAGAAATGTCAAGCTGGGAATAACATCACTCAAGGCACATGCAACTGTTGGAGAAGTGTATGCTAAACCAGCATAGTACACATTCAGATGGATGGTGGTTCCAAACAAGGCAAGCACAAAAATTTTGGCAGCTACAGAAAATGAGAGTGAAGGCCTTTGTTTCCTGCTTTACAAATCCATTCAAGAATTAGTTTTCTCTGTTGTTACTGCCTGGAAATATGAAGAGATGCAAGAATCGATAACTTACCTTTCAAGTACACAAGCAAATGGTCCTACCAAAACCATGGCCATAACATGCCGCGGTAAACGACGAAGACAATTGGATTGAGTCCTTCTGCAAGGGAGAATTTTATGAGGATGTTTGATCCACCATATATGAGCTGAACCAGTACCATTGCCAAGTAATAAGAGCATCCCTCCATTGATATGGATATGAAACTTTCTTGGACTAATTTAAAAATTGGGATCACTGCGTCAAGCTTTAATGGGTTGGTTTTTTAGCGGAATTCACGATCAGTTTAGCAAACATTTAGCGGAATTCCTTGATGGTGCAACTATAAAGAACCATTTTTGGGGCATTTTTGTTAGTGGAAATTATTTTAAGTGTTCTTCCCGATTTTGGCTCAAAGACAAACTTTTAAAAACTGAAGATTGTGCAAATGAAAGATTGCCATCACATTTCTCACTTTAAAAATCAATAACCAGCATAAAATAATCCCAGAATTCCACAATTTATGTTTGGCAACAGAAACCCAAAATATAGTAAAACTTACTCACCAAAATTTCCATACAAGATTTTTATAAGAAAAGAAAGAAGAGTACAGATGAAAAACTCAAAATCAAAATCAGAAAAAGCACTCTTAACAAGTACAAATCCCAAAAATCTAATCACTCCTCTTCTCACTCACATAAATCCCATCAAGAAACTTCCTAATATCTTTTCTTCACATGGCACTTCTGGTTTATGAGAGCAGCAGACCTCAACACCAACGCAAACCCACCTTGGCTCCTAGACTCGCCTAAACCCGCGCAGGCCGCCTAGATCCGCCCAGACCGCCTAGGGGCCGCCAGATCCGCCTAGACCGCCTAGAGGTCGCCTAGATCCGCCCAGACCGCCTAGGGGCTGCCAGATCCGCCTAGACCACCTAGAGGTCGCCTAGAGCCGCCCAGACCGCCTAGCTGCCGCCTAGATCCGCCCAGACCGCCTAGCTGCCGCCTAGCTCCGCCCAGACCGCCAAGGGGCCGCCTAGATCCGCCTGGACCGCCTAGGGGCCGCCTGGCTTCGCCCAGACCGCCTAACTACGAGTTCGAGTCTCTCTCCGTTGCTACCATGGCGTCCAATTTACGTATGTTTCTGATTTTGCAATTTTGTTTTGTTTGTTTAAATGGAAAAACAATTATCAGAGAGTTTCTTCAAAGGATTTTATGATTTTATAGCATCAGAGTTGTTATCATAGTGGAGATTTCAATAGCTGAATGACATTTGATGGTTTTTGTAGAGAGAGTTCAATCCAATCCAATCAACGCAGCAACTGAAACGAAAGAAAAAAATCGAACCTTGAGTTGATAGAGAGAGAGAGAGAGAGAGGTTCAAGGCCAAGTTTTGAATCTTGGAAGCTTATAGAGAAGCGAAATGGCTGTGAATACGAGTGCAAGCCTTCTGTACCTCTAAAATAATATATTTAATGCTTACAGCCGCGCGGCTATATCTCTAAAATAATATATTTTAAGGGTATAGCCGCGCGGCGATATTTTAAAAATATTTTAATATATTTTAATAGTATAGCCGAACGGCTATACGCTTTAAATATACAATTTTTTCATATTATTTTAGGGTTTATAGCTAAAATACCAGTTCAGCTAATTGGGCTAGAGTTATTTCTTCAATTAATTTAGGTTTATTGTTACAAAACGTCCCTAAGGTTTACAAAACTATCAGATTGCATCTTTAATGTTTTTTTGTGTCATTCGTGGTCCTCAAGGTTAGTATGTGTGATCACAAATGGTCCTTGCTGTTAGGTTCCGTAAAAAACTTCGTTAGTTTGCTGACGTGACATATATATATATATATATATATCACAAAACATCACCCACCTATCATAAATTGTCCCTAAAAATTTTATGAATTTTTTATATTTAAAATTAATAAAATTTTGGTTTTCTTTTTAAAATTTTATGAATTTTAAATTATTTAAAAATACAGATTATATTTTAAATACATGTCACACTATATTATTGTTGATGTGGGCTCCATATATATGCCACATCAACAAACTAATAGAGTTTTAAAAAAATAATTTAAAATTCATAAAAATTAAAATGAAAAAACTAAGGGTTTATGGTTCATAAATGGTCCTCAAGATTAAATCCTTCTATAAATGGTTTTTTCATTTATAAATAATTTTAAGAAGAAAACAAAAATTTTATGAATTTTAAATGAAAAAATTTAAAAAATTTGTAGGGACCATTTGTGATAAGTGTGTAAACCTCAGGGATGTTTTGTGATATATATATATATATATATGTCACGTTAGCAAACTAACGGAGTTTTTCACATGACCTAACGTCAGGGACCATTTGTGATCGCACATACTAACCTTGAGGACCACAAGTGACACAAAAAAACATTAAGGATGCAATTCGATAGTTTCGTAAACCTTAAAGACGTTTTGTGATAATAAACCTATTTTTTTTTAATAGAGATTGACTAATTAAAAAATAGTTATAATATTTATAACTCTCTAAACTAGAGAGCATGATTGGAGTTTACATTTTATAGGAAGTTCCTAAAATAACTTCGATATGTTTTTAGTTAAATTTTAACTAAAAAGTAGAGAACATGATTGTGGATGCTCAATGTGTTTTTTTTCTTCTTGACGTAGCACAAGCAAATAGGTTACAAGCATAACCTAGAAAAGAACATAAGCCTTGAATCCGCCAGAAAGTTAGAGAGAAAATTCTCACTATTTGTATTATTTGATAAAAGATTAGTTGAGTTCAACCATATGTGACGGCTAACTAAATACATCGTTCTCACCCTTTGGACTGCCTTGGGGAGTTATTGAAAGCTTAATAGAAAATAAACGGAAAGTTTGTAAATTGAATACAATCTTGAAATGCACTTTTGGAAGCCCAAACGGCCTCAAAAGCCCAAAATCCACCTTATGTCATAACAAAACAGTGAGTTAGACACGTGACGTCGTTCCTTTTTCAAAAAGGTAATATGAGACCCAATCGAAGTTCGGATACCAAATTTGTAAATTTCTGCTGCGTCACTTTTCCCCTCCACTCTAATTCTTCTTCAATCCATTCAGCCATTTGTTTTATGTCACTTCTAAATTCGATTATTTAACATTTTTAAGAGTTTATTTATTTATTATTATATGTATATATATATATATTTATTTATTAGTTTAAAAAAAGAAAAAAAGAAAAAGAAAAAGAAAAAGAAGAATGCAAAACATAAATATCCAGAATCCAGAAACCAGTACCAAGAAGAAATCTAATGAGTGCTTCAAGTCTGTGCCTTTATCGTCCTCTCATCACTGCACTCTTCTTTTCCAGACGCCGCTTAATTAGCAGTTCCCTATCATCAAGTAGCCCTTTAGTCCGTGTTTGGTCTTGCTCTTCCTCTCATTCCATCAATGGCCCAACTCCACCACCAGGTGTTTGTTTGCCTCTGTCAAACGCATCAATTTCATGAGAAAGCTCCTTCTAGTGCCTTGTTATTCTTGTTCATGACTTGGATGATTGTGTTTTTTGAAGCTATTGTGGAAAAAATGGAGGAGCAGACCATTGGCGTGGCTAAAGTCGATACCTTGAAGCAGAAAATGGAGCTTCTTGGGATTCTTTGTAATGATTCTTGTGTGCCTGGACGCTATACTAATCTACTGTGTCCCAAGGTACTGTTTGCAATACTTGGTTGTGATAATTCTTGGGTTCTTTTATGTTTTCTAAAATTTCAATAATATAATCAAATGCTATAGAGCACTAGCAAGGATTCAATGAAGTGGAACTTATTTTAGTAATTGATCTCAAGTTTTTCAATGTTTTGCCAAAACAGTGCAACGGTGGACCGTCAATGGAGAGGAGCTTGTCTGTTCACATTGTCCAAAAGGGGTATGCTGCTACTGCTAGTTTCTTTATATGTGTCGCTGCATATTTCCAATAATGGGTGGTTTTAATTACTTTGGTGATTGGATACCGTAGGGATTTGGCAATGTGGAGGTGTTTTCGAACTGATTGTAGTTGGGGTGACCAGGTGAACACAATACAATTGTGTAATTGTGTTTTTTTTATGCCCAAAAATTTAAGAATTTAAAAGTTAGGACTCATTAGATATGAATCATCTGATTGTTTCGTTATAGGTATTCATAGATGGCAGGGCAGCGCATAATGAGGTCAAGAAGATGGTCCAATTCTCTGGACAAATGACAGAGGAGAGCCTCAGGTTAGAAGCACCAGGGGAAAAGGTACTTACATTGACTTATGTCTACCAATGTCTGATCAATGCATGTCCATGTTTGCAAAAATCTTTCTGGTATAAAAATGACCAATAATTTAATTGCTTGGCCCTCCTGTCCTGTCATGTGCTCTTCGATTCCAAATAAAATGGTAAGTATGGTAACGTGTATTAGAGGTATTTCCAAATCTTGTCCTCTTCAATCCCAAATAAAATGGTAAGTATGGTAACGTGTATTGTAGGACACTTCTATTCGGAAGACGCTGAATGACATGATAAAATATCTTCCCAAAACATGATTTTAATTAATTCAAAGACATGCATGTTATACCATGTCTCCACAGTTTAAGTTGAAAACGGACACACATTTGTGTCCAAATAGCAGGTTTATAATCATTTCCTTGTATTTTACATTGTCAGTCTCTCTTTGTCTGTCTTTGAGTCTCCTATGTTGTGCTACTTCTGACATGTTACTATCTTGTATAAATAAACACTCTTTCATTATTTCAGGTAACTGCATACTTCAGTGAGCGAATGATATCTGATGAAACTCTGCGGAGAAATGCTGTAATGCAACGTTCTGGTGATAAGGTACCCCTGAACCTGAAGTTATCACTTGGTGGAATTGCTAATTTATTTTTGATGGGTGATTCTGGGATTATGATTAAATTTGACCTATATTCAGTTATTTACCAATATTTCTGCATTTAGCATCAGTGAAAGAAACTTCTGAACTTGTTGGGCAGTTATATTCTTTGTAGTGGTCAACAACTTGTGCTGAGGTTGTTCACTTCATCATTTTCTGATATTAATTTGCTTGGATCCACTGTGAGTTGGTATGATTCAGTCAAGTGACATTTGTTCCAAGAGAAACTGGTTGAGATAAAACTCTGTATAGGAACATTTGCAAATGTATAATCATCCTAGGTTTAATTGCTTAAGATTTTCAAATCCATTTTCTTGCCTGTGCATCCTTGAGCGTAAATAATCAAAATTGCAACCACTCGGAACTTCTCAAAAATTTACTTTACTCATAAAAAAAAAGTGTAATATGTTTTCAATCATATACAAATAGAATAGATTTGATTTTGTCATAACTTTACTAGAATATGTTTTGTTATCAGTGATTTTATTATCAATAGAAAAACCATATTCAATTTTGGACCACTCTTCTATTTTTCATGGATTTTAGGTGGGAATAAGAAGAGGTTCCCACCCACCCTAAGAACCTTGCCTTCATTTCGCATAATTTTATTTAATCTAGGCAAGCGTAGCGAATCACATAGATAAGCCCCTACCTGTGACACACATGCTTAAACATTTACTTTCAAAGCACTTCATCATTGAGACGTTGATCTATTTTAAAACTACTGTGGTTTCCAGGATATCATTGCATTTACTTATAAACGTAATGGACTGCTTGTTGGCTGCAAGTTCCGAAGCATAGAAAAAAGATACTGGAAGGTACACATGCTAAACTTTCCCCAGGTTTTTTGTCCTGGAAAATGTACATGGCTATGAAGTGAAATGTGGATGCTTTCGAATCAAAATTTGATTTCAATTTCCCTTTATGATTTTCAGGAGAAGGGTTCCGAGAAAACACTATATGGAATTGATGACATAAATGATGCAGCTGAAATTATCATTGTGACTTCAATTTCCCCTGTTTTGTAATGTTTTCCTCCTCTCTCCCCTGGCCCCCCACCTTACTTTTGTGATTCTGATGCTGCTTGTAGGTTGAAGGGGAAATAGACAAGCTTTCAGTGGAGGAAGCTGGCTTCTGCAATTGTGTGAGTGTCCCTGATGGTGCGCCAGGAAAGAGTTCTAATAAATTGCCACCTGTGGAAAAGGTGTGGGCTAATCCTTTTGAGGCTATCTTTGTGGTTTAGATTTATAGTTTTATTTCAAGTGGGAATGTAACATGGTATATGATACTGTTACATAGCAGAAGCATCGTAAAATACCTATATACGAGTACGAAGTAAATGACATGTCCCAATTAATGAAATGTTGCTCAACTACGGATTTAACAATAAACTATACATGTATCAACATCTGAGGGAAAATTACTTGAACGAATTTTTATTGACAATGTTCCATCTTCCTCGCTGCATGCATATTAGGACACTAGATATCAGTATCTGCGGAGTTGCAAACAGCATTTGGATAAGGTATGTAAACTGTTGTCTGCCCTCCAATTAAACATTTGTAAGTAAACTGTTGTTTAACACTTTTACCTGTTAGGTTTCTCGGATTATCCTGGCAACTGACAATGATAAACCAGGACAAGCTTTGGCCAGAGATATAGCACTCCGCCTTGGGACGCACAGGTTAAAGAAATTTTCTGTAGTTTGTGTGTTGAATTTGAAGAATCCTTCAATCTGTTTGTGTACTCAATTTTTTATGCAACGCATTAGATGAATGGCTTCCATTTTCATTTTGTAAATTGTTTCTTGCAACCAACAATTTCCATGGGACTTGCACTTACTACTGGTGCCACGGAGAGAGATGTTTTTAGATCTCGCATTTGAAAAACTCCTCTTTCTTGTGTAAAAGGTGATTGATTCAGAAAATTAATGTTCACTCTTGCTTAATGAAACAGGGCTAGGGGAGGCCAGTTGTTAGACCACTAGGTTAGATTGCTAAAGTTCATGATGTCTATGAACTTGAACATAAACAATTTTCTAAACTGGGGTTCTTAACTGCTGTGAAGACTGTCAGACTCAAGGCTTAGATACTAAAATGCTCAGTTTGGTGTTTCTATCAGAAAATAAAAGGGGCATTATGCCATATGCCTACATATGTATAGATACCGACATGTATATTTGTCCACTTATTTCCTTTTATTTTCATTGGATGTCAGATGTTGGCAAGTAAGTTGGCCAAAGAAAGATGAGTCCAGCTATTACAAAGATGCTAATGAGGTCTGGTGCTTCCACTCTTTTCCCTTATTGTTACTGCTGTTGTTTTTAATTGCTACTAGACTACTAGTTGTTCTAGGGTTGTATATGAGCTTTTTTCAGGACCAAGGTTGCCAATATCTTCTTGAGATCCCAATTTACAGTTATACTTGGTCACTGACTTGGAACTATAGTTTTGAAATTTGTTAAGAAATATAATGTTTTTTTTCCTTGTTAAAACTTCTAGAAATGAAAGCACAAATTCAGTTAAAGCCTTAAAAAGCCACATGATTTTTGGACCTCAACTTACCACACAAGCACACCCATACACACATGACAGGATTCTTTCACTGCGGTTTTGGTTCATGGCTTTTTTTCACAAGGAAGAATTTGTATAGGGTTACAAGCACACCCATACACACATGACAGGATTCTTTCACTGTGGTTTTGGTTCATGGCTTTGTTTCACAAGGAAGAATTTGTATAGGGTTACATAATATAACATTTGTTATATATTTGCTTTCACACTCTGGAAAAGTACTGATTTCTTAGGATTCTTGGCCTGCTTTCTATCTAATGTTTGAATTATGACCATAGGTTCTAAGGCATATGGGACCTGATGCTTTGAGAAAGGTGATTGAAAATGCCAAACCGTATCAGTTATGCATCTCAGACCAAGTAGTAAGTTCAGACAAGCATAAGCCAGAAAGAATACCAGCTTCTTAGCACACGAAGCTCACATGAAGGCTGCAAAGTTTTTACGAGATTTTCTACTTGTCGTTCATATCCCCAGGGGTTTAGGTTGATTTAACTTTGTACAGAAGAGAAGGTAGAACAGGTTTAACAATCATTGCTTAGTTTGTATAGAAGGAACTCGCTATACAGATTCGACCCCATTGTTGGAAATAGGTTGAAATTCTGGGGATTTACCTCCCCGAATCTTCTTGTGAATTTTACTCTCAACCATATGTAAGCTCTTTTTTTAAAATTTGTTGTACTGCAATAAGTTACCATATATGTTAATTCTAACTGGAGCTTTATCTTTAGTCAAGTTGACATTTTTTTGGGCATCAGAAAAACAATTCCTTTACGTAAGAAAATAAAATGTCCTGGGCATGCAACCAAGTGCAAATAAATACCATTAAACTAAAGGCTAGTTGGTAATATACCAAAATATTTACCAAAGAGTAATGTCACAAGGGCAAAAATAAATGTATACTATTTAATTTTAATTGCAAAAAGAAGAAAGCTTTTTAATTTTTAATTTTATTAAAAAAGAAAAAGAAAAAAGAATTTATGCAAAAATGCAAATAAAACTCAAAGAGGATGATGCAATTGGGCTTGCGAGCGTAATAGACCTGTCCAGGCTGCCCTCGATTCACCAATCAACTACTAAACGCAAAATTTATCTCTGTTATCGGACAGAGACGCTACCCAAGTGTGCAGCAGCCATGGACGTGCTCTCAATCTCATCCCCGATATTCCTTCACACCCCTACTTCCAAGCTCTCTCACAGCTCTCGCTCCAAACCCATCTCCCACTTTCCCTCTTCTTCTTCGAAATTCCCCACAATTAAGTCTCTTTCTGTCCAAACCCCAAAACCCACTTTCACCTCCAAGTCACAAGCACTTGACGGCTCGCTCCTGATTTCCTCAGCTCCTCAGACGCCTGCTACAGCCATGAGAGGCGCCGAGGGCGACGCCATGGGGCTTTTGCTCAGGGAAAGGATTGTCTTTTTGGGCAGTAGCATTGACGACTTTGTGGCCGACGCTATTATTAGCCAGCTGCTTTTGTTGGATGCCCAGGACTCCAAAAAGGATATCAAGCTCTTCATTAACTCCACTGGCGGCTCTCTCAGGTTCTTCATGCTTTTTACGCATCTGTTTATTTTTCTTGGTTGTTGTTTGAAAGCATGAAAGTTTTCATTTTTTTATGGGGCCTTTGAGTGATATAGGATACCATTTTTTCATTAGGATGTTATTTGATTACATTTCATTCTAATCATTTATGTTGCGGGGAAGACATTGATTTGGTCATCATTCATGACTCGTTATTGGTTTAGAATTCGGGTGTTCGTCTTGCTATTTGGTTTAGTAAGTGTAATTTTTTTTTTCTTTCCTTCTATATTTTTAGCATTGGTGTTAAAAACTGTGAAATATGCTTATATATGTCTCAGTGTATCATTTTTGCACTTCCTAATGGTATGTTTGTGCTTGTGCTTTTGTCGGATGATACTGATACTTGTCAAGATAAGAAAAGTTCATTTAGGTGGTTTCTTCATGTGTAATGGAGACTTAATGGAACGGCGCTGTTTGATTATCTTATGAGAATAGATAAAGGCCAAATCCGTTGGCATAGGTTGGGAACAAAAGCATAGTGCACCGTCCCACACTCTCTCTTCATGTTCCCATTGAAAACTTGGCATAATTTTTCAGGTTTAGAACATGGTCAAATTGGAGTTTATCTAGTTACAACTTTTGTGCCCATCTTCTTTTATGTCAAGATATTTATGTAGCATCTGCACTGATGCTAGTTATTGTCTCCTAATAGTAAAGTAACTGTACAAGTTATATGCATAAAACATGCATTCAAGTACACATACATAAATGTTAAACATGTGATTTAGGCTTTGATTCGTCAGTGTCTTTATCATTCATGGATCTTAGAGACCCAAGTGACCTTAGATGTCTATGTGAGAGGTAGATATAATATCATCTGCAAATCAGCTGAGTGTGGGGTAATTGCTCATGAAAGGGTTAATAGTAGTGATAGTATGTAATGGAGGAGGTCTAATATTTCTATATCACTTTCTTGGTGTCTTATTGTGCAAGGAAGCAGCTGAGCATATTGACCTTTTATTCCTCCATTGTCTACTTTGCATTTAGATTATTGCATAAGCTTTTAGGGAGGCAAGGTTGAGTTGTGCAATCTGGAATCTTGTATTTCTCTATTAATCGAGATTTTTTGTGCTTATGGTGGCAGAAAAGTTTTGTGGAGCTGTAGTGTGTTGGCTGTTTCTCAGGTGACTTAGTAGGAAATGAATTTTAGGGTCTTTGAAGGCAAATGTGGGATTAGGTAGGTTTCTTGTGTAATAGATAGTGTTCTTTTGGGATGCCCAGTTTTTGGAGTTTAGATATATACACTTCTCTTTATTTATGCGATTGAGGGGGCCAATGAATCTGTTGAATTATGAGATTAAGCTTATGAGTTGTGGAAATATGATGTAAGCATTCATGCTTCATATTTTTTTTTATCAAGGGAGTTTTGCTAAGACAAGATCACTGGACCATTTTTTTATTCTGCTTTGTTCACATTTAGCTTATCATTGTGGGGATGATGATTATGTTATGATGTTTCTGTTTGCATTTAGTATGACCTTACAATCTCTGTACTTAATGCACAAAGTCATACACAAATAGCTTAGTAGCTCACATTCACTGAATTCAGTGGAAGCAAACATACAGTTGATGCCATCAGAAGAACTAAATGAATTAGTTAATTTCATGTTGAACATTATTCTTGTGTCTAATGCTTTCATGGTTTTTCTGCTCTGTCATATTTGCTTGCTGATTTACCTTTTCGTTATTTGTGTTAGTGCTACAATGGCTATTTATGATGTCGTTCAGCTTGTGAGGGCTGATGTCTCCACAGTTGCACTTGGCATTGCAGCATCAACAGCTTCTATAATCCTTGGTGGTGGCACCAAAGGCAAGCGTTTTGCAATGCCCAATACACGGATTATGATTCATCAACCTCTTGGAGGTGCTAGTGGCCAGGCAATAGATGTGGAAATTCAAGCTCGAGAAGTCATGCATAATAAAAACAATGTCACAAGAATTTTTTCAAATTCCACTGGTCGCCCATTTGAACAAGTCCAAAAGGATATTGACAGGGATCGCTATATGTCTCCCATAGAAGCAGTTGAATATGGAATAATCGATGGAGTTATTGACGGAGATAGCATTATTCCTCTGGTGCCTGTCCCAGACAAGGTGAAGCCGAGAATGAGTTATGAGGAAATTAGTAAAGATCCAATGAAATTTTTGACACCAGATGTCCCTGATGATGAGATATATTAGTTTTGGCCATTTGTATGAGAGGTACATTAGCTTTCTGATTACATGTTAGTTGCATACAACATTGTGTTCAAACCATGATACTTTAGAACCCAGATTTCTGTAATTAAACCAAGTATGCCCTTTCATTCCAAAGTTTCAGCAATTATTTCAGTTTATTGTCATTAAGCAAATTCTGCATTTGATTTAGACTGCTTGGGAAGTAGGATTCAGCATCTTTAAAAGCATGGATATGTTCTGAAATTGCATACTTGATGAAGATGAGACCTATTTCTTCAGGCCCCTGGCTTCATAGGCTTTGAATAATGAGCAGAGATTGTTCATTTGCTTCATGAGGTGCTAGCAGGCTTTTGGGAAAGCTTTCGAGTCTCCCAGAGTTTCCAAACCAGAGTGCAGTGGATCACAGCTAAAGTTCCAAATGCATATAATGGACATGCTTCTTCCATTTACTCATTCCCTGATTGGGAACTGAGAAGAAATGTTGGAGTTGAGCAGAAGGAAAATTTCTTTTATAAAGCAGCAACTAGCAATCATACTTTCTTTTGTTTATTACACATGGAATGGGGAGTGTGGGTTCCAGGCCTAAAAGGCCGAAGGGTTATTTGCATACAGTCAAGATGCTTGAGTGATTGATTGCCAGGGATATCAGCCATATATGAATGTTGTATATATTGTATCAAAATGTGACCCGTTTAGACTTCGGGTAGGGTCGGTTTCTGTATTTGAAATTGGGGTTGAAAATTAGGCCGGCCCATTAATTATTTCCAAGCGCATTGCCAGCATCAAGGCATAGTCGTTCTATAATGAGGGTGCTATATATGAACTATAGATGTGGACTTTCATATTAACTACAATATTCATATGAATAGTAACTTCACTTAAGTTTAATGAAATGATCCTATAGCTAATATGAAGATCTACATGAGGGATTTATATATGACACCCTCACTACAGAATTTCGCCATCAAGGCTTCACTTTGTGGATGTCATGTTCATTGATCAATGATACTCCTCATCATCACCACTGTTTTTTTATTTTATTTTATTTATTTTATATTTTTTAAACGTAAATAATGAGGAGGTAAAAAAAGTGTAATGATGGATGCAAAAGTATTTTGAGGATAATGTATGTTTTGGACATGCAAGTGATACTATAGAAGTGGGATTTCGGACAAAACTACAACGGTAAATACTATTAACCATTTGAGCCATTCATGACAAAATGATCTTTAGTCTTTTGTTGTTGTTGGTAATTTAGATCTTTATAGTCATTTGTTCACTGATGGGCTAAACCAGAATTACCAAAAAATAAAAAAAATGACAGGCCCCGTTTGGGGCGTTTGATGTGATCGGGTACGGGTTGACGGGTAGATAATTGGGTCCCGGGTCGTGGTTGAGATTTAAGAAACGGGTTTTACCCTTAAACCCCTCTTCTCAGGTACCTTACCCTCTTCTTCCCTCTTCTCTCTCTTTCCCCTCTTTCAAAACCCAGTTGCTAGTTTGCAGAGACATGCGTCTTCTTCTTCATCGACCTCTTCGTAAGCTCTCCTTTTTATCCTCAAGCGCTGGTCTTCTAATGGGCACCGTGCAACTCTTCAAGTCCACTCCTTGTCCAAACCCATTAACTCCTTCACAAAGACACTCATTTCACTCCCATAGACTCGTTTTCTCTCCACTCTCGCCAAAACCCATGTCTACAACGCGGCCACTTTGCCTTAGAACTAATGGGTATTCTTATGTCTCACATGCCAATGGCGCCGCACCAGGTATGGCCCTTTAGACTCCTGTTGGTAAAGTTTTGCTTAACGATATGCTGTTTTCAACTTTTGTTAAGTAAATTTTTCTATGTGCCGTTTTTCAAATTCATTAGAAAACCTCAGAACAAACTACGCATGTGTAAAAGTGAATCTTTTGTGTGTGTGTGTGTGTGTGTAGAGGATTATGATAATATTATGTGTATAATGATATGTTATATGTTTTTCAATTGTATGTAGCTGAATTAGAAAACGCAGAAGAAAAGAGAGTGGACTTTAACCAATTGTCGCGTTTGAAGCTGAAATTGGAGATGCTTGGCATAGACTACGGAATATGTATGCCAGGGCAGTACAACCACTTGATTTGTCCAATAGTACGTTAAGAGTTTTACTTCTGCCGCCATTTATATTTATTTCAGAAAATCTTTTGGGCTTTGATTTGTTTTGGCTTTTGGATTTCATGAATTATTTAATCTTTAGGATGGTAATTGTAACAGCATACACTTATGTCCCATTTGTGTTCATTATTTTAATTTATGAAATCTATAAGATGTTCAGATATTCCTCAAATGCTAGGCATCTTAGCTGTAAATAATTAGTTGTAGGAAAAAAAATGACATTTTCTTATGGATAAGTAATTGCCATTGTGTATAGTAATAAAATAAGTTACCGGTACTGTTTTTAATCAAAAGTTTTAAGTATGAGCAGACTTAACCTGAAGGAAACTATGTGGAACTCAAGGTAGTTATTGAGAGTAGTTGACATTATCTTTGGATGAAAAGAAGTACTTTCTTGACTAGGTAACTCGTTCAATAAAGGGATTCTGTAAGAATATAACAATGACTTTTGAGAACAACAAAGAGAATTTCTGTGGACATGTCCTCATCTAAGGCCTGTAGACACATTTAAGGGTGAAGCAGGCGCAAAAATATGGAAAATTTTCATACAAGTAGATTAAGCTGAGATTTTTTTTTAAAATTTTATATTGTTTAGAAATTATAGGATTAAAAAAATCAGGGAATTGAGTGGACATGATGCACTAATACCATGTATACATGCTTTTATTTTAAATAAGTAAAAGGAAGGAGTGAAATTTCAGTGTGAAACTGAAGTGAATTCTCATATGCTAGTGCAAAGGTGGTGATTCAGAGGAAAAGAGCTTATCGGTTTATATTTCAGAAGATTGGTATGTTTTTCCTAGCCTTTTACAAGTTTTCCTGATTCTCTATTAACAGATTGCAAGTCATATTTATATTGGCATTTATGAGTTCTTAGGGGTTCTGCTTTTTGGTGTTGCTTTCGTGGGAAATGTGGGTGGCAAGGTAGAACAACGGTATGGTTTCTATTCCAAGCTTGATTTAGAATACATTGCTATCATATAATATTGAAAATCGATGACAAGAGAGTCACTTGGTCTAATGTCATCCTTTCTTTTCAGGCCGTTGGAGATAACAAGTTGTCACGTGAAACTTCAAATCAAATCGCCAAAGTGAAGAAAAAAAGGGAAATCACGGTGGAAAGTCTAGGACTGGAACCACTTTGTGAGGAGGTTCGAGTGCTTCTTGTACTGGATTGTGACACTAATAATATTATCAGTAAATTTATGTTTAAATCTTTCTGAATGCAACATAGTGAATATATATTCATTTTGCTCTTATTTCAGCTTGTTGCTTATTTTTCGGAGCGAAGTATATCAACGGAAACATTGAGAAGAAATGCTGTAATGCAAAAAACTACAGGTGTTCAGGTGCATGACACTAGGGAAAAAGATTTTCACTTTTTCCTTTTTATATCAAGCTGTTCACGATCTTAGTTGTGTAAATTAGAACAACATGCTTATGTGGGTATTACAAATATCTAGATTACTACACTCTAGAAGTTTCCTCTTTTCACCTATAGCAATCAAGTTTCAAAACTGAACTGCACAGATGAAATGGGATCATAATTTTTGTTAGTAAAAATGAAGTAAAAAATCTTCGTAGGGCTCTCTATTTTGACTTTAGGTTCCTTCAATATAATGCATTAAAATGCCGGATAAAAAACCCAAAAAAGAGAAGCAAGCTTGAAGTTTTCTATCTTTAGGGAAGAACTTTGAAACATCAGACAGTTCACTAAATCCATCACAGCTCGGACAAATCATATAAACACCTGAATGGTTCATAATGGTTTGAGTGTTATACTTCCTGCATATGAAATATATCTTCTCTCTCGTAACTTTGAAACATTAGACTTCTATTGATTATATACAAAGCATATGGATTTCAGAACAGTGCACTGATGAAGTTATACTTATGGCACAGAACTTGAAAAGTTGCATTTAAGTTTCACTGTCCCTTTAATAGAGAGTGGTGATGCAATAATTCTTGATAACATAAATTGAGAAAACCTAGGGTGACATAAGCTACAATTATTATCTCAGTCCTGGGGCAGATATTTGCACTTCAGTCTACTTGACCTAGATGTGACTCTGATTTTGCCTGACCTAATTGCTTCTGAAATTTTATATGCAGATTTGTATTGCATTTCCTTATTGGAGAGACGGAATGCTTGTTAGTTGCAAGTATCGGGACATCGAAAAGAAGTTCTGGCAGGTTTTTGCAATAAGTGATGCTTTGTATATCTAACCAAAGTGTTTTAACAAGAAATGGCTGAAATGTTGAGCATTTAATATATAATTATAAGGGACCTTTTTATAAGCACAGACCAACACATACACACAGAGTATGTATATATCTAAGAGAGAGTGAGAGAGAGAGGTTTATTTATTTATTTTTGGTTTAAGTGTTAGTAATACTGTCATTTGGATCTCATTATTTTGCTTTTATCTCAGGAAAAGGATACCGAAAGGATTTTTTATGGGCTGGATGATATAAAGGGAACTAATGATATCATCATTGTATGGCTTCCATCATTTTTTTCAGTGATTGATGCCTTCAAACATTATTATTGCACTCGATATGTATTTTCTTTTGTTTTGTTTTATGACATAGGTTGAAGGCGAAATTGATAAGCTTGCAATGGAAGAAGCTGGCTTTCATAATTGCGTGAGTGTGCCTGATGGTGCTCCCGCAAAGGTTTCCTCAAAGGATTTGCCACCTGAAGAGCAGGTTTGTATCATCCTTGAGATAGTTCAATGACTTTTTCTTACTTTTATTCATTTAATTTATTGAGAAATGTTATACAGTGTAGAACCACTCTACAAATATCTACGTGGCACTTGACTTCTAACTGTCCAATGCAAGTTTACCCATTAAAAAAAAACACCTTCAAAGAATAAAGTATCTTAACATTTTTCTTTTTCATTCTAGGAAACATATACTTCTATAAATGGAAGGGGTAACTGCCATTTTGCCTTGTGAATTATGAAGCTAGTGTCAATTTAGTTCTCGAACTTTTTTTTGGTTAATTTAAGTCACGAGGTATTGTAAAATTGCCAATTAGAGGCTTACCGTGCGATTTTCTCACAATCCATCCATTTGCTGTTAAAACATTTCACCTGCCCACCAAGCATGTGAATTACATTCTGATCAGAGGAGAGGGTTGGGTGGGTTTCCTTTTCTCAACTTCTGTTTTTTTATTATTTTTCTTAGTTTTTAATGGTCCTTTAACCCAGAATTATGTATTTGCCCTCAAAATGGACGGAAAATTGGATGATCTTGGCTCGCAAATTAGGTTGGATCAAATTTGGCCTTTCTTTGAACCCAGGAGTGGATTATAGGGTCAGCCAAGCTCTACCCTTTCTATTTAGGGTTATTTCTTCTGTTTCTAACTTTTTTAAAATGCTTCAATTATCTGAAATTAAGTTATTAATTACTTCAATTGTCTGCAGTTAAGTTATTAACTATTATTCAATATCTGTGGAAAATTTGGATCTGATGTTCCTTTTGTCTATTCTGTAAAGCTAGGATACAAAGTATCAATATCTGTGGAACTGCAAAGAGTACTTAAAGAAGGTTCGTGGATAAGTTTACTGCTATTATTTAAAACACATGAGCGTAGGAGTTCATAGATTAGGTTATAATGATGTGATTTTTGATAGGCATCACGAATTATACTTGCCACTGATGGAGATGAACCTGGTCAAGCCCTAGCTGAAGAGCTTGCACGTCGCCTTGGAAGAGAAAGGTTTCCATGATGGTGCCCTGTTGTTATTGTCTTCTGTTGTTTTAGTTGAAACATTCTCAATGCAGGCTTGGTAAGAATAACTGTCCCTCCCCATGTGACTGCAGATGCTGGCGAGTCAGATGGCCAATGAAAAATGATAATGAGCACTTCAAAGATGCAAATGAGGTCTGAGACACTGTTTTACAATGATATGGATTTATTTAAATTTAGAATTTAATATTTTCTCCAAATATTTTATGTTCGACGACCTATACATATAATGATAAACCGAAGATCATCTTACCTTTGGTTTCATTTTGAAATATATGCATACACATGTATGTGATTGTTTGTTTAAATATTTCTTATTGAGTTGATTTCTGAGATGACAGTGATGTTTCACGTTGCATGTTCCAACATGTGTATCCATATGAAGCTAGTGAAATTGGTGTTTTTTGGTCACATATTAGCACAATATTATGGTATTATTTTTAATCAAGTTGCATGGTAACAAAACAAACCTTTGATACCTAATGAGTTGCTTCTGCATCATCTTGTGTGATGATCTGTATCATGCATCTTCCCTGACACTGAAAAGGATCTTATCATCAACTGCTCACATGGTTTGTTCTGAAGAGCCATTTTAAATTATATTTTATATTTTCAGTTCACTAAAGCAATCCTTACCATTTCTTATAATTTGTTTGTACAGGTTCTTATGTACTTGGGTCCCGATGTATTGAAGGAAGTAATTGAGAATGCTGAATTATATCCTATACGTGGATTGTTCAATTTTGCAAATTACTTTGATGAACTTGATGCATATTATTATCGGACTCTTGGATATGAGTATGGTGTCTCAACTGGGTGGAAAGGTCTGAATGAGTTGTACAATGTAAGCCTAAACCTGGACGTTCCTGAGTGACAAATAATACCTAACATATATAATTTTGTAATTTTTTGTTTTTAAGGTGTTGGGTGATATTAAGGTGTATGAAAACATAACAAGAATGTATTGTTATTTCAGATTAAACTCTCTCTCTCTCTCTCGGTTCCCTGGGGTGTTGTGGGGTGGGGGATGTGTTCTAGTATGGAATTATGGATAAGAATGCAGATATGTCAAATGACTCATTATATATTATTGTAAAGTAATATATGTTGAAGTGGAATTTATACTTTTATATGTTCTATGCATACAGATTGTAAAATTTTACCAAATGATCTGATCTGATCTGATCTGATTGTTTCTTACTTTTTCTATGCATATATATGTGTGTGTGTGTGTTCTTATTGTCATCATGAGTTGTCAAAAGTATATTTAGAGTATTATTTTACGTCTGCTTCCTTCTTTTGTATTCTGTTCTGCCGAAAGCTGGATGGGGATGACTAGTTGCGGCATGTGTTTCTAATTCTTTTGTTTTTATTTTAAGATTGTTCCAGGTGAGTTGACTATAGTAACAGGTGTCCCTAATTCAGGCAAGAGTGAGTGGATTGATGCTCTGTTGTGCAATCTCAGTGAAAGTGTTGGGTGGAAATTTGCACTTTGCTCTATGGAGAACAAGGTAATCTAGTTTATTTTTGTTTTCTCCGATATGTACCCTTTCCGGTGTGACTTGATTTACGGTAGATCATTATGAGAGAGATGTTCCACATGTGCATAGCACTTGTGATTTGGAGAGCAAATATAGCTGTGTAGTTGAAGTGAAACATCTCTCATGTGAACATATCTCTCATAATGATCCACTGTAAATCAAGTCACAAGGGAAAGGGTACATATATGCATGTGGGAATGATGAAAAGTTGAATATCACTTGTGATTTCCCTTCTCAATAATGATTTACAGGTTCGGGAGCATGCGAGAAAATTGCTGGAGAAACACATAAAGAAGCCTTTCTTTGATAAACGGTGAGTTTGGGTTCACATTCTTTGATTCTGTTCTTAAAATGTATTTGGTGCCTTTGGTTTTCTTTTTCCTATGTAAATTATTTAATGAGAAGTGTATGGTAAGAAAGGAGCCGGAAACTCATTGATTCCAATCTTTATGTCTTGAGTTTGCAATAGGTTGCGAGAAGCTGATTTAAAATCGTTAGATTATACATGTGATATGACATGGGAAATTTTAGAACTTCTTTTCTACTTTTTGAAACATAAAGCTCGATTAGTCCAAACAAAAAGGGAAGAAAAAAGGAGGCACAAGAGACTGTAGTTCCCACTTGTCCTTGGTGACACAGATTTGAGGCATGATTCACAGCCTGTCTTCATGTTGGCTCAAAAAAAGAAAGAAAAAGAAAAAAGAGGGTGGATCTACTATTGTATTCACACCTATGCTGTGCATATACAATAGTTACAGCTATCCTGTGTGTGTTTCTGTGTGTATTTTGCTTCTTGTCAAGTGACAGGAAGATATTTGAGAAGAGTTTACATAGCTTAGGTACTAACTAGTCAGCATGGTGCCAAAGGCCTCGATCAAAGATTTGTCTTCATGTTCATTCAGAAAAGTAACCAAGATGTTTAAAAATGGTGTTTCTTCAACACCCTATTTTTTGCAGTGTTTTAGTTTGATTAAGTTCTTACCACATCAATTGGTTTCCAACCTGCTTTGTTTTGGTTTTGGTAACAACTATGTTTCAAAATTCAACAAAAGAAAAACTAAAATAAAGTTTGTTGGAAAATTTCGGTTTACCAAAGTTTACTGTTTACAAGCTGATAAATAGAATCAATTTATACTCGAAAAGAAACAACCGGCATTCTAAGAAATATATTATATATATCTGTCAGAAACCGATGGTAATTACTCTCTTCAAAGAAGGAAACAAAATAAAGAAAGCAAAGTGCAAAGACATCATGCATGCTGGTGTTTAACTATTCTCTATAAAATGTAAATTTCATTTTGTCGTGTTCAAGTTTTACTTCCACCTACGCAAATCTATAGTTAGTAGATTGTCTCCTAGTGGCTCTGCTTAGCGTGAATCCAAACTGGCTGTCGAACACTATTGATTCTTTCCTTAATCTTCGTGCTTTTTTTACCTTTTCCTGTAATTTCATAGTGACTCATCAATTAGAGTCTTTCATGGTTTTCACAGTTTTGTATGCCCCATGGTTTTTATAAGTCAGTACTATCTTTCTTTGCAGTATCCTTAGATCTACTTTTTACCTTTTATTGTAATATAAGTTTCAGTTTTGCATGTTATTATCATTGATTGTCTTTGATTTCTTGGCTGACTAGTTATGGTGGTTCTGCTGAACGAATGAGTGCCGAAGAATTTGAGCAAGGGAAACAATGGCTAAATGACACCTTTTACCTCATAAGGTAAGTTGCGGTATCAACTGTGCTTTTCGGATAATATGCCTCAAACCTACTTTTAGTCCAGGCCAGATTGCATCTCCGTGTCTGTCACCCTTGCACTGTTGTTAGGGCTTGTATATTGCAATGCAAGCATGTCAACAATGGTCAATACAAATTTGTTTTCTTTACTATTAGAAACCCAGGCCTGGGGTAACAGACTTCCAGATTTTAAATACATAGTAAAAACGTCATTTTATTGCATTTTAAATAGTTTCATTGTTAATCAAACTCCATGGAGGTTTTCAATGCATTTCCATTTCATAACTTCCAATTCTCCCACATTTCATTTCTCTTCTCTCTTGCTGTGTGTGAAGGCGATCAGCATGGTGAGACCGTGCCTTGATGAATTCCAAGATGTTCTATAGCCTTCTTTATTTGCCTCAGTCTGCTGGACCAAAGGGTACATTAGGGGACCAAAGGCTTGAAAAAAGAAGTCCAAAAACAAATAAGTCTAGGTCGGGCCCTCAAAGGGTCCCCAATAATTCAGCAATACTGTTAGAACAACCTCCACTCCCTACTATCGCCTCAAAACTAAGCCCTTTAGCCCCATTCTAATTACCCCTTTTGAACATCCATCTGGATTGACCTTGACCAACACTCATTCGAAAAACAGCAAGTTTCTCATGAAGGGGCGAAGAAAATAAAATCCAGGCAAAGGAATCGTAAATATATTTAGCCTTCTTTGTTTGCCTTCCAAAGATGCTTTGCATGCAGTTAAGTTATGAACTATGGTATGCAATCCAGCAAAAACAACTATGATAAACTTTTTTTTTTTTTTTTTTTAGAAAAAAAACACATCATCTTTTCTCACTTGATACTATAGTCAGTAAAATTTATTTACTCTTTTAGTTACTCAACAAAATTTGGAGATACGTTTGGACTTTTTGATTGGCTCCATATGAAACAAGAATTACTAAATGATCATAGACTGTTATGGAGTCTTGAGAAGCATCAGATTATATCTTTGATTTTTCATGTTTTAGGGTCATCAATTATAAAAATATGTACCTATTTAGTTAATACATTGTGGAGTAGAAGTGTTAGACTCCTTTATCTGAGTTCTGATTATATTGGTGCCCATTTGATTTTTACTCGTATGGCCATGTTATAGGTGTGAGGATGATTCCCTTCCAAGTATCTCTTGGGTTCTTGAGCTCGCACAAGCAGCAGTACTTAGGCATGGGGTGCGTGGACTTGTAATTGATCCTTACAATGAGCTTGATCATCAACGTCCCCCGAATCAGTGAGTCTTTTCATTACATCTCCTATGTTGCTGTTTTACTTGTGAACCAGCACAATGTAGTCCCGGAATTTTTACTTTGAAGTTTTCACTATATTAAGCTCTTCATTAGTTCTAACTTTTGGGGAATTATTGTCCATTATAAAATAGTAGACATTTAAGGAATTAAGTTATTTTTTTATACAAGTGATGTTGGGGGAGGGGGATCGGACACAGGACCTCGGGTGTAGGGGTAAATGCTCTTAGCATCTTGAGCTACAAGCCCCTTACTAAGAAATTAAGTTATTGACATAATGGAAAATGACAGATTTTCATTTTATTCTTTGACCTGTAGGCATTAATGATTAGCCGCAGATCCTCAATGTTTAGATCTTATTGCTTGTTGTTTGGCTGATTTTGTAGTGCCTTTTGCCCTTTAATATACGCGTATTCTGCTTAGCATTACTATTAATATTTTTTTTCTTGATAAAGAAACATAGAATAATGTGAGAAGCCGACCTGTTCAAAAGTTCTAGGAGTGATCATGACTTATTTATAGAGATCTCTTATCATGCTCGCTAACGCTGCCCTTTGTATTCCTTGTATTTTAGTTGAATGTCCTAATTCTACAATTTTTTTTTTTCACTTACAAGAAGATTACAAATACTTGTAAACAGGACAGAAACTGAGTACGTAAGTCAGATGCTTACCAAGGTCAAACGGTTTGCTCAGCATCATTGTTGCCATGTTTGGTTTGTGGCACATCCGAGACAGGTTGGTTACTTTGACCTTGATCATGTCTTTTTCTTTCATTTGGTTTGTCTAATTGTACCCCTTGTAACAGTTGCACCAGTGGGTCGGGGGTCCCCCTAATCTCTATGATATAAGTGGAAGTGCACACTTCATAAATAAATGTGACAATGGAATTGTAATTCATCGTAATCGGGATCCAGGGGCTGGTGTATTGGATCAAGTACAAGTGAGTATTGTACCTAGAATTTCTATACACAAAATTCAATTATCATCTTTATTTCCATATAAAACTGCCACCACCAGCATGTTATGACCAATTTCATTATTATTATTTTTGTTGTTATTGTCATTGTTGTGATTGATGTTAAATGTTGCTATCATTTTGCAAACTTTGCAACTCAGGTTTGTGTTCGGAAGGTACGGAATAAAGTTGCAGGAACGATAGGTGACGCCTATTTGACATACGATAGGTATGTTAAAACTTTAAGCATTTTGGTGTTAGAGATTCAAAAGTTTGATTACGAATATATAAAAGTTAGTCATGAAATTTTCATGCTTTGAGTAACTCGTATCCTGAGTAAGAAAGAATCATTCAATATAAGAGTCACTTGTGAAATATCATTTCAATTATACATCAAAGTTGTCTCCTCATCATAAAATAAAATGACAATATATATAGAAGAACAGTGGTTCTCAGGCATATTTTGATGTCTACTAGAAGGCTTTGAGGTTATTATTCCACTTAATCATTTCTTAGTTTCTTATTTACATAATTATACCGTTCTCTTTCCCTCCCAACTGTATGGGTGAAAGTTAAAGTTCGGAATGTGGATGATGTTTTCAATGTTGTGCTTGAGCAGGGCAACTGGTCAATTTAAGGATATTGGTATTGAAAAGAGCACATGAGGAGAAACAGGGAATTATGTGATCAACTCTGAACATCCTTGTACAGTGGAATCTAGTAGCATGTTGGGGTGTCTGGTGAGTTTCCTGATGCCTTATGGGAATTTTCATGTCGCGAAACAGCATGGTCGTGATCCGAGACAAAGAAGGAAACCGCATCGAACCACATAGGAGGGTTTACCATCAAATTTTGTATGCTTTCCTTATTGGAGATGAAGATTTAGTGATGTATTCAACAATGTAGAATATTCAAACTGAATTATGTGTTCTATTCTGACATCAGGATTCTTAATTTTGTATTTAATATATATTTTTTTCTCAGCCATTAGAGATGTGGCCATTTCACCTTTGTTTGCTGTGGTTGGAAAAAGTGGTAGATGAAATGAGCATATTTGGGGTGACGGTGGAAGCAACCTTTCAGCCTTTCCTATTAGTAAGAGCCGTTGGATGTGACTGGCTGTCAACCGTTGATTAACAGCCACCACAACCATGTAGGGGATTGGCAATTGGATTTCTCAAATAATACAGTATGAACGTGTGGGCCAATAGTATTACCCTAACAAGCACTCCAAGAATTCTTAAGCATACATGAGATTGATTCCAATCTAGAAGAACCAAATTATTTGTACGACCGACGGTAAAGATTAATTATCAATTAGTCGACCGTATCACCCTAAACAAAATCACTTAACACATTGATAGCTTGCCAGACGGTGTGCCATAAAAGAGAATTTTACAGGAAATTCAGGAAATCGTTTCTTAAATAAATACAAGACACAAAACATTAAATATCACAATATAATTAATTTACTAATATTTTTTTGTTAATAAATTAGATCTTCATTTTAAAAATACTAATGACAGTTATAAGAAATATGAACTTTACAAGGAAAGAAAAATCTAGCTGTCCACAAAAACAATAAGAAAACAAACAAAAAGAAAATTAAAAATAATAAAAACGCCAGTTGGCAGTGATGGTATGAAATCAATGTCTATTGTGCTAATGTCTGTCCCAGCGACGAATTGGTCAAAGGAAAATATTCTTCTTTCTTCTCTCACTTCTGTAGCCATGAGCCAATGAAACGGTAGGCATGTAGTTAAGGTATTTGAGATTGAGCACACAGGATCTTTCTCTCTGGCAAACGCAGAGCAGTGGACCCCAAAAGTGATTCTGTAACGTCAAATCAGTGCTGGCTTCCAGGCTATCAAAACCCTCGGAACAAGAATCCACCAACGGCTCTCCTATGCGGTGGCTTACAGATATGTGACCGTTTGTGGGCTCCATCACCACCCTTCGAGTTTTTCGAAAATATATAGCCGTTACAACTCCTTCCCAAATCCCAAGCAAGCCCAACTCTGTCTCTGTCTCTGTCTCTCTGTCTCTCTCTCTCTCACTCTTAAACACCACAAGCTCACAACCCCTTCTGCTCAATCCCTCATTAGAATTTTCTCTTCCTCCAAACATAGCAAGCAACTTTCTTCTCTCTTGTTTCTTGGTTTTCTCTCTCTCACATTTTTCTTGGTTGATTGAGAAAATGACTGTTGAGGTTAAGGTTGAGGAGACCCTGGTGGCTGAAGTTGGGGTTGTTCCTCAGGAGGAGCCCATGAAGCCTGTGATTGAGAATGAGAAAGTTGTTGAAGGAGATGATAAGGTGAAGGAAGTGGCTGAGTCTGGATCCAAGCCCAGAGCAGTTGAGAAGAGCTCTTCTTATAAGGAAGAGAGCAACTTTCTCTCTGATCTGAAAGAGTTTGAGAGGAAGGCTTTGAGTGAGCTCAAATTGAAGCTGGAAGAAGCCATTTTGGGCAACAATATCTTCAAGAAAGAGGAGCCAAAGGAGAATGAGGAGAAGGAAAAAAAAGTAGCAGAGGAGGAAGAGAAGAAGGAAGAGAAGGAGGACGAGAAGAAGGAAGAGATAGCGGAGGAGGTTGATGAAAAAAAGACAGAGGAAGGAGATGAAGTACCAGTAGCTGAAGAGAAAGAAGCAGCAGCCCAAGAAGGTGAGGAAGAGAAGAAGCCTGAAGAGGGGTGCGAAGTGGACAAGGATATCTCTCTTTGGGGTGTGCCCCTTTTCCCTGGGAAAGGGTTTGAAGGCACTGATGTGGTGCTCTTGAAGTTCTTGAGGGCTAGGGAGTTCAAGGTCAATGAAGCCTTTGAGATGCTGAAGAAAACCCTTCAATGGAGGAAGGAGTCTAAGATTGATTCAATCTTGGATGAAGATATCTGTGCTGATCTGAGCTCTGCTGCTTACTTGAACGGCGTTGATCGCGAAGGCCACCCTGTGTGCTACAACATTTTGGGGTGTTTGATAATGAGGAGCTTTATCAGAAAACTTTTGGAAATGAGGAGAAGAGAGGGCAGTTCTTGAGGTGGAGGCTTCAGTTGATGGAGAAGAGCATTCAGAAGCTTGATTTGAGGCCTGGTGGTGCTTCTTCTTTGCTTCAAATCAATGACCTCAAGAACTCACCTGGACCTGTCAAGAAGGAGCTTAGAATTGCCACAAAGCAAGCTGTTGGGCTTCTGCAGGACAATTACCCTGAGTTAGTCGCCAAAAATGTAAGTCTTTTTACAATGTTTACTTCAGAAATTGACTTCATTTGGCTAAAATGTATGGAGGAATTAATGGGTTGTTTATGCTTTTTGATTTGCAGATTTTCATTAATGTTCCATTCTGGTACTATGCACTCAATGCCCTATTATCTCCTTTCTTGACTCAAAGAACCAAGAGCAAGTTTGTGGTTGCTCGCCCAGCTAAGGTCACTGAGACCCTTCTCAAGTAAGTAACATCTCTACATCTTTACCTACCAAAGGTCTCATTTTGACACCATTAGAAGCTTACCCAAGTGAACTTTGATTGTCAATTTCAGGTACATTCCAGCTCAGGAGATACCATCTCAATATGGTGGCTTCAAAAGGGACAATGACACTGAGTTCTCCTCTGAAGATTGTGCTGTTTCTGAACTAATTCTTAGGGCTGGATCCACTGGAACCATTCAGATAGATGCAGCTGAGGTACAAATAATACAATGCTACTGATTTTTGTTAGATTGTTCCTCTTGGGATTTCACTAAGTATTGGTTGTGATGGTGTTTTTTAATAACAGGCTGATAACACATTAGTCTGGGACCTGACTGTTTTGGGCTGGGAAGTGAATTACAAGGAGGAGTTTGTTCCTACTGATGAGGGCTCTTACACCATTATTGTTCAGAAGAGAAAGAAAATAGGCTCCAATAATGAAGGGCCTATCCGCAACACTTTCAGAAGCAATGAACCAGGGAAGGTTGTTCTTACAATTGAGAACACTTCAAGCAAGAAGAAGAGGGTTCTGTACCGGTACAAGGCGAAGAAGTGCTCCACCTTCTGAGAGTTCAACTGTGAAAGGTTGCTGCAAGTAATTTGTTTGAGAGGGCATTGTATACATAATTAGAGCTTATTCTTTTAGACTGGGGCAATAATAATTCATTTTTTTTTTGGAGGATCCATATGATTCTGTAATTTCATATGTTTTGATGTGAATCTTTTGCTTTGGGATTTCAATTTGGCAGACTTTGTGAGTGAAATATATATTGGTTTATTCATTTGGAAAAAAAATATTTGTTAAGCTCGAATGTTTTTTCCTTTTCTAGTATTTACTTGCTTAGCAGAATTCAGTGATCAAAACCTCAATCATAGATGGGTTAAAACATCTTATGACAATGATCTCTAACTAACTGGAAGGTTTTCACAAATGCAGTTGGAAAATTTTCAAAACAATGAGATGGTTAATGAATTGACAACCTTTTTAAGGAGATGGTTAATGAATTGACAACCTTATGACAATGATCTATAACTATAGCTGAACGACAGTCCAATTATCATGTTTTTCATGATTAAGGCCTTTGACTGAGTGCCAAGTCAGCCTAGTCTACAATGACAACCTCACCACTTGAACTTGGTTGAATCTTACCAGCCTAGTCTCTAATTCTTTCTAATTAAAACCAAATTAAGCTATTGTTAAACTCAAATTAAATGGTAATTATGCAATTGAGCTATACTTTCGATAGTCGCTCACACGCGTGTCATCGTTTATGTATGAACTATAAAATAATTCACGCCCATACAATTGACTGTCCTTAATTTTCCCTGTTGCAATAAAAAAAGGTGTTGTACGGATTTATATTGTTGATGTATAAACACACATCATGTTCTTATGTCAAAAGGCGTGGTATATATGACGCAGCGGGGGTTGTGGAGAATTGCGTTTTATCTTTCCCTTGTGTCTATATAAACTTAATTTGGTGGAAGATAGTCTACTTTCATTGAACGCGGGAGGATGCAGCCATTTTTGGCCATAAAGATTTCGTCTTCAACACAAACAAGTTAATATATATAAAATTGAGGATATGTCTGCATCGTGCATTAATGGGGATTTGAAAACGTGCACATATCACATCAAATCGGATAGAGAATTTCATGTTAATCAAGTATATGGTGCAGGTAAGGGGGATTTGGAAACTAGTGCACATAACACCATCAAATCGGACAAAGCATTTTATGATCAAGTAACTGTTCCAGGTAAGGGGTGTAAAGGAGCCAAGTCGAGTTTACTACTAAGAGCAACTCTAGCGGTTCCACCGAGCCTCGGACTGGGGGAAAATTTTGCCAAAATCTGTTTCCAGCGAGGAGCCCAAGCCCGAGCTAGGAGTGGGTCCTAGCAACCTGGGCTGGCCCAAGGGCAAGGTTGGCCCGAGCTCCAGCTCTCGTTTTGGTGCTGACGTCAGTGCTACAGTGCCGCTAAAGTCCACGTGTCGCGCTCTGAGCTCTCCGATCAGATTTTTTTCTCCAATCCAACGACAGCCAATTTTTGTGCAATAAAAATATGAAAAAAAATCGATTTTTTTTTTAAAAAATACCAAAAAATTACTGAATTTTTTTTTAAATTATAAATACCAAAATTTTATCCGATTGAGATATGAATTTTATAATAAATATTGACACGTACGAACCCAAAAATCTTATCCGAAAATATTATCCAAATTAATTGCTTAGGTAAACAAATTTTTGAAAAAAACAAAAAAATGAATAGTAATTGCCCTTTGCCATGGCAACGGGTGGAAACACACAATACTATTTGCAAGGGCAACCACTATTGACGTGAATAGTGGCTGCCCTAGCTCCCCCCTTGCCATGGGAAGGGGTAAATGGGTAGAGTTGCTCTAAGGTCCTCAAGCTCGGGTCGAACTATAATCTTCGAGCTCAAGATCAGTTCAAGCTTGAACAAAGCTTGTATCTATGAGCTTTGTTCAAATTTGGACAAAAGGCGTATATACTCATCATGCTCTTATGACAAAAGGCGTATATATGACGTAGAGGGAGTTGTGGAGAATTGCGTTTTATCTTTTCCTTGTGTCTATATAAACTTAATTTGGTGGAAGATAGTCTACTTTCATTGAACGCGGGAGGATGCAGCCATTTTTGGCCATAAAGATTTCGTCTTCAACACAAAAAAGTTAATATATATAATTGAGGATATGTCTCCATCGTGCATTAATGGGGATTTGAAAACTATGTGCACATATCACATCAAGTCGGAAAAAGCATTTTATGATCAAGTAACTGTTCCAGGTAAGGGGTGTAAAGGAGCCAAGTCGAGTTTACTACTAAGGTCCTCAAGCTCGGGTCAAACTATAATCTTCGAGCTCAAGTTCAGTTCAAGCTTGAACAAAGCTTGTATCTATGAGCTTTGTTCAAATTTGGACTTGAACTTGGCTCAGCTTAGTTTATTTATAGATCGAGGTCTCAACTTTAATTGTTTCTTTTACGGACGGAACTTGAAAGAGCCAAAATCTTCGAGCTCAATGTGAGTCAATCCCAAACTTTATCAAGCCAATTTACAGACCAAAGTACCCTTATTTAATGATGTTTGCATGCTCTCATATATGCGTACCTTGAGATCATATTTTTTTCTTTCGTTTTGGTGTGTACATATTTTGTCAACTTCTAGAAATCAGGCACACCATTTGAAATTCTTTTTGCACGCAACAATATGGGGGTGTCCCAGCGGATCATTCCTTCATTGTAGAAGAGATAAGTTTGCAGGCTGTCTATATTGCTTTCGAAAGGAGTCATGAGTGTGGACTGTTTACCCATTCAATCAGATGGGCATATGATTTTCTTTTTCTTTTTTAATTTGATAGAAAATGACATGAAATTTTATTTTAATTTATTTATGTTCATCAGGTTTCAGTTTTACTCTAGTCAGTTGACTTGGGCCCAGTTTGGTTTTTAATTATATAAGTGAATGTCCCCGGTGTTCTAGCCTGGTCTATTATATATAGGGAATGGAAATGGATGATGTGGGCGATAATCTATACTTATCTGGTTCATTAGTTCTTGAGAAAACAACTAATGGAAAAATAAACGAATACATGAAGGACGAATCATATATGGCATTGTCTGACTGATTAGAAGGAGACTTTTTATTTGATGATTAATCAATAGTCATTTGGTAAGATTCTTAAGAAACCTTCAGATATTGTTCTTAACTTAAAACCATTTTGTTCTTCAAACTCCAATCAATATTATCAATGATGTACAATTACTAACCATACAATGTGGGTAACCTATATATATATATATATATATATATATATATATATATATATGTGTGTGGTCCACAAAGTGGCTCACACGTACAAATCGTGTATATATAAAAAAAATTGGAAGTACTTTTTTAAAAAAAAAATTTTTTTTTTTAATAACAAGCAATAATGTAGAATTTTATTAGAACAATTGAAAAAAGTATAAAGGGAACCATCCCAATTAGCAGACATGGGTAAATTTCTCCATTGACCTAAGCTAGCTTAAGGGTTGAAACGATCTGAAAAGAATCAATCTAAAAAATTACTTGTCTAATCATCTTCATTAATATTGTCACGTGCATCCTTTTTTAATTTTATGGTTTTGTTAAAAATGAAACTATTCCATCGTCAATTATAGAATTTGTATACTACTTTGTGTACCATCTCTCTAATAGAGGTGAAGCTCATTAATACAATGGGACTAATAGAGGTGGACAGTACATGATGGTATATAAATGTGATATGACTAGCATTTTTTATCCAAATTAATGGAAAGGCACATGTGCCCAGAGTTACCGTAGCCAGATAGAAAGATAAGAAACGAATCAAGCATCTTCCAACTATATGTTTCTTTTGGCTGAAGAAAAAGTGTGTTGAGGTATAAAAACTAGGAGTTTACTGGTAGCTAGCTAGTTTGGTACCGGAGCCAAGCCAATTAATTTTGCAGTCTTGCGGCTCAAAAAACTTTCTTATATCAGTGATAACACTGTTTTTCTATCCTCGGTCAATAATACAATGATATATGAAAAAGTTAGTCCACATATCATTACGTTATTAGTTGAGAATAGCAAAAAATACTATCCTTGTTGCATAAGAGTTTTTCTCTTAGCGGCTATCTTATACAAATGGTCCAAGTACTATCATGCACGTGCGCCGACTGCATGCTGTATGCAATTATTTCTGCAGTCCAACTAAAATGGTATAAATAAACAATACAAAAGACAGGCTAATTATATAACTATTTATAAATCTGTTCTTGCTTTGAATTTTCTCGAGGTCAAAATGGGAGGAGGTGACTTGCAAAATCTTCTTAATCTATTATTTGGAATTTGTGTTGGTCAAACTCTCTATCTCTATAAATCCCCACCCATAGAGATCATAAAACACAAACCAATAATCGCAAACCAAAATATTGCTACAAATGGCAATCCCAAGGCTTTCAAATCTCTTGCTGCTTTCAACTCTTTTTGTAATATCCATTTCTTGGCAAGCTTCAGCTTATTCAGCTCCTGAGAAGTTTGTTCAATGTCTTCTAAACCATTCCCAGCCCTCTCACCCCATCGGTCCAGCAATTTACACTCCCAACAATGCTTCCTACTCCTCCGTTTTGGAATCTTACATCCGAAACCTCCGATTCAACACATCTTCAACCCGAAAACCGTTCCTCATCGTCACTGCTTTGCATGAATCTCATGTCCAACTATCTGTCATTTGTGCTCAAGTCCATAACTTGCAGATGAAAATTAGAAGCGGAGGCCACGATTACGAGGGTGTATCGTACGTGGCTGAAGTTCCATTCTTCATCCTCGACATGTTCAATCTTCGATCCATCAACGTAGACATAAAATCTGAGACTGCATGGGTGCAGGCTGGGGCTACTCTTGGTGAAGTTTACTACCGAATCGCTGAGAAAAGCAAAATTCATGGCTTTCCCGCTGGTGTTTGCCCTACAGTTGGCGTTGGAGGCCACTTTAGTGGCGGTGGATATGGTAATATGATGAGAAAGTACGGCTTGTCAGTTGAC